TCACTCGGCTTCTCGGGCTCCTCTGGCTCCTCCGCGGTGGTGGGAGGGGCGACGATGACGACAACGCCGGCGACAGCGACATCGGCGGCGGCGGCGGCGGCGGCGGCAACGCCAGCGGCGGCGGAGCATGCGGCGACGATGGCGGCGAGGTCGGCTACAGCGGCGGTGGGCCTTGCTTCTTGGGGGTGGGGCCGTACACGGGGCGGGCGAATCGAAATCCACCTCTCGTGCACCTTCGGAGCCCCAAGGGGGGCCTTCCGGGAGCCCTTTCGGGCGACCTGCGGCACAACCCTCGACGCCGAAGCCCCTTTTATCGCCTCCTAGTTACGACACGCCCGACGGCGACGACCCCTGAGATCCGACGTTGCGAAGACATTGCAACATCGCGAAAAACAACGACTGGAGCCCTGGACCACATCTTTCTGCAACATTCTCCGAGCCGCCTCGGCCCGTGACGGGCCCGGGGCCCGCGAGAAACGCGCAGCGTGCACAAGCTGCAACGCCTGGATCTCAGGGGCAGCGGCGGCGGCTCCTTGGGCTTCCCGGCCTCCTGGCTCGACTTCTCGGGCACTGGCGCCTTCTCTGGCGGAGGCGCCTCGGCCTTCGGCGCCTGTGGCTCCACCTTCTTGGTCTCCTCCGCGTCTGGCGCGTCCTCCTGGGGCCAGGCATGGTCGGGCAGAGCGTCGCCGGCGCCGTCGAGGACAGGGGAGGATAGAAGATCAGAAGCATGGAGAAGGTCGGGAACGATGCCGAGACCACCTCCTCCTCCTCCTCCTCCTCCTCCTCCCGCCAAGACGAGCAAGAACTGCTGTCGATCGTCGAACCCATTCCTTCCGTACTCATGTCGGTCGTACCGAGTTGTCTCCTCCCCCCGATCCATCCCTCCTCCTCCCTCCCTCCTCCATCGTCCCTCCCCGCAGACACAGAAGACACAGAACCTTCTCAGAAGGCTGGGATGGGGGCTTCTGAGAAGCCCCGCCGCACCCTGAGAAGGCCTCCTCCTTCTAATCTCCCCACCTCGCTCGCCGCCGATCCTCCCCCTTGCTCCCATTCCTGCTCCCCCGGCAGTGCCTATAGGCGCTACCCGCGGGGCCTCCCTAGCTGCGAGGGCCTGTAGGGCCTATAGGTCGGAGGCGTCCGCAGAAGGGAGGAGCGCCGCGAATGCGCGGGGACCAACCCAATGGGTCACGGTCCGATGGGTCATCCATCCCTCCCTCTCCCTTCCTCCTCCATCGTCCCTCCTCCTGCTCCTGCGTCTGCTCCCCGCGCTCCTGCTCCTCCCCCGCCCCCGCCCTCGTCCTCGCCCTCGTTCTCGTCCGCGGCCTGCTGCTCCTCCTGCTGCCCTCCTCTTCCACGCCCTCGCCCTCGCCCTAGTCCTCGTCTTTTCTGTTTTTTACGTGGGCGAACTTAGGCATGTTATCCTCCTTCTCCCCCTCCCCCTCCCGCTGCTGCTGCTCCTCCTCCTCCTTCTCCTCCTTTCTTATGTTTCCTTCTCCTCCTCCTCCTCCTCCTCCTCCTCCTCCTCCTCCTCCTCACATCATCATCATCATCATCATCATCATCATCATCATCATCATCATCATCATCATCATCATCATCATCATCATCATCATCATCATCTTTGTCCTCCACTTCTCGGAGCAGGGCGAAAATTGAGACAACGGCAGCTCGAACCCGATACCCTGGACGCCCCCCCGAGGCCTGGCCGCATCAGACTGCCGAGCCGCGTCCCGCCGTGGCGTCGATTGGGGGCCCCCTGGAGGCCAAGCTCTGCCCCGGATCTTCCTCCCTTGGGCGAGGACCGAACGTCCCGGCATTCGTGTAGGCCCACCACGTACTCTTTCTCTCGGGCCGGGCGAAAGGAGGGGATAGCAAAGGGGGGAATTGATATTCCGGAGGCGGCTATGTATCGAGGAATGGGCCACTCGGTGGGGCCGAAACCAGCTGCATGCAGCAAATTTCGTACCCCCCCCTTTCCCAATGCCCCCCTTTCGTCCGGCCCAATTCTCGCACCCAAGCCTGTTCTGATTACAGAAACAATGCTCGTAATTAGAACATCGACCCGATGCATCAAGACAATGCGGTCTCGGCCAGAACTGCTCTACGAACACTTCGTGTAAACCACAAACTTTCAAAAGGTTCTTAGAGCATTCTTTGGTGGTCCTATAGGCAAGCCAAGGTGCTTCGCCACTGCTTGAGAAACGAGTCCTGAGGGAAACGGGTCCTCGGCCCTGGCGCCTTCCCTCAGGACCACTCGTTCATCCTAAGTCGTTATTTGACAGTCCGTGGGAGGGCCCCAAGAACCTGAGAACGGCGAAAAACCTCAGGGCCCATTCCCCTCAGGACCCGTTTCCCCCGTGGCGATCCTGTCCCTCCTCGAGTCGACGTCGGCGTCGCGGCCAGCGCACGTGCCTGCCGTGGCGTGCACGGCGTGCGTACCCCGGCTGCTGGGGACGGAGGACGGGCGGCCGAAGAGATGGGGGGGGCCTGAGGGCTTGGAGGGAGGGCTGGAGAGGAGGCAATGAACAAATGGAAGAACAAGCCAAGGAGTCCTGATTTGGCGGCACGCACAATGGCGTTGGGGGAGGGAGGAAGGCTTCGTCGAAAGAGGCTGCTTCTTGGAAGGCGCCGTCCTTACGTCTATAGATCAGGCCCGCGCCTTCTAAGAAGCAGGGGTGTTTCTAAGACGCCTGCCCCCCCTGCCCCTACCCCCCTCTGCGCGTGGCCGACTGCTCCCATCTCTGTCCGACTGCCAAGCTCAAAGCTCAGTGAGACTGCCTCACTTAGCCAGAGGACGAGCTCTGAATGGGGCAACTTCTGCATCACCTTAGCATCCCTACGGAACAACAAGCGCACACGGAAAAGCGGCACTGGCCCCCCTGCACTCCGACTACTGGCACGCAGCCAGGTTGAGGGACAGGCTCCGAAGGCGCGGGGTCCCCGACTGCAACGACCCTTACCGCGTTCGTCTGTAGCCTGACACACTAAGTCAAGCTACAAACAGGACGCGGTAAGGGTCCACCTTGGCATCCCTACGGAACGACAAGCGCACGCCAAAACGCGGCACTGGCCTACCTGCACTCACACTACTGGCACGCAGCCAGGTGAAGGGACAGGCTCCGAAAGCGCGGGGTCCCCGACTGCAACGACCCTTACCGAGCTAATAGCTTGCGGAGCTCTGTCCACCAGCACAGCCCCCGAGGCAAGAGAACCGGGAATCGAACCGAGATGTCGGATCGGCGATCGAAATGAATCAGATCGGCGGAAATCGGCAGCCGAGTCGGGAAAAAAGTCGAATCGGCGGAAATCGGCAGGCTAGCATGCCTCCAGTATCGGGGGCGGTCAAGAGGGGGGTGTCCAAGAGTGGGGGTGCAAATCATGACCGGCGGCATGTGCGCGGCCCAGCGGGGAGGCCAGGGACGTAATGAAATAAGAAGAGGCGGCATGTAATCTGGGGAAATATCATGGCCCCCGCCATGATATCCACCCCCCCCTAGTCATCACCCCCCTCTTTGCCGCCCCCGGCAGTAGGGAATCGGAGCAGAAACCGGAACCCGAAGTCGAATCGAATCGGCCTCGGGAGCCATCGAAGGCGAACCGCATCAGACCGGAAAAACCGACACGAGCCCGGCTGAGGAACCGTCGGGCCGGAACGCGGGGAGACGATCGACGGAGCCTCGCGACGTCGCTGCTCGCGCGCACGGAGGCTCGCCTCTGGGGCGCCTTCGCGTCGGGGGAACAGCCCCCGCTGGCTTCGCGAGAGGTCCTCGGGCTCCCCTGCGCGTCGGCCCTGGGCAGAAGCCCACCACTCGGCGCTGGTCGCTGCCCGTCGTGCACCTCCCGCCACTCTTGGCAGAGCGCGGCAGGATCCTCTGGCCAGCACGCCAGCAGGCGCGAGGCGCGCAGCTGCAACTCATCCCCGCCTTCAGCGGGAAGACCACCGTCCACAGATGCTCCCCCTCCTCCTCCTCCTCCCCCTCCTCCTCCTCCTCCTCCTCCTCCTCCTCCTCCTCCTCCTCCTCCTCCCCCTCCTCCTCCCCCTCCTCCTCATCCTCCCTCCTCCTCCTCCTCCTCCTCCTCCTCCTCCTCCTCCTCCTCCCCTCCTCCTCCTCCTCTCCCCTTCCCTCCGCCTCCTCCTCCTCCTCCTCCTCCTCCTCTTCCTCCTCCTCCCTCCTTCCTTCCTCCTCCTTCCCTCTCCCCTCCTCCTCCTCTCCTACTCCTCCCTCCCTCCTCCTCCTCCTCCCTCCTCCCTCATTCATCCTCCCTCCTCCCTCCCTCCTCCTCACTCTCCGCTCATCCTCCTCCCTCCCTCCTCCTCATCCTCATCCTCCTCCCTCCCTTCACCTCCTCCATCCTCCTCCTCCTCCTCCTCCTCCTCCCCCCCCCCCCCCTTCCTCCTCCTCCTCTTCTCCTCCTCCTCCTCCTACTCCTCCTCCTCCTCCCCTCCCTCTCCTCCCTCCTCCTCCTCCTCCTCCTCCTCCTCCTCCTCCTCCTCCTCCTCCTCCTCCTCCTCGTCGAGACCCCCCCCCCTTGGAGCACCTGTGGGGGGATGGGTAAGACCTGCCCTCCCCTGACTGCTGCCGCCAAGCTGCTGGCAACCAGCGAAGGTCCAGGGCACGCAATGCCGCAACGAATGGAAATTTTGCGGCTGGACCATCCGAACACATCTGACGCGGATCCGCCTACAGCCGCACTTCACTAATTCATGGCCCAAGCCTTGCACCGCGATCCGACCACGACGCCACGGAGGAGGAGAAGGTGGAGGAAGCTGAGGAGGACGACGACGCGGGAGTCAGGAGGGATTGCAATATCAACGCACCTGCCAAGATGTACAACATGGCGGACGGCGCCTCCTCCCTCATGGTTGACCCGCACCATGGTTGACCCGCCAGGGGTGGCGCGCAAGGTCTGCGGAACTGCAACTAGTCAGCAAGGAGGGAGGCGGGAGCATCGAGGTAGGCTACACGCAATCGTGACCCTAGGCAAGAGTGGTGCGCGGCTTTTGGGGGGCCGCGGGGGGACCAACCACAAGGGCGCAAGACGCTGCTATCGCATCGCGTTCGGCGATCGGAGGACGCTACTATCGCTTCGCGTCTGGCGATCGGGGGACCCCACTGGGCCCGCCCCAAAGGTCACTCTGGCGAAGGGTCACTCCTACATCTAGTCGGCAATCAGGAGGGAAGGAGGGCACGAGCATCGAGGACGCAGGCGGCAGAAGGGAGCCGGACGAGGAAGCGGCAGGGGCGTGCCAGGGGGACGGCAATTGCCGAGCGCAGCCGCTCCGCCGCCGGGCGATCCTTGCCCGCCTCCTCCTTGTCGGTCTCCTCCTCGCGCGCGCTCTCGGGCTTCGCTGGCCTCTCCGCCTCGGCCTCCGCCGGGGGCTTCTTCTCCTCGCCGTCCCGCCGGTCGTCGTCTCGGCGGTCCCGCCGGTCCCCGTCTCTGCGGTCGTCGCCCCGGCGGTCCCGCCGGTCGTCGTCCTTGCGGTCGTCGTCCTTGCGGTCGTCGCCCCGGCGGTCCCGGCGGTCCCCGTCCTTGCGGTCGTCGTCCTTGCGGTCCCTGCGCTCGCGCCGGTCGCGGTCGTCGTCGCTGCGGTCCTTTGGGAAAAGGAAGCACGGCATCAGCATCAGCTGGCGGAGGTCTGCGCGGGTGTCTTCGATCTGCGCTATAACCCCGCCTGGGCGGCGCTGTATAGGCGCCGCCAGAGGGTCCAGCCCAGATGCCCCAAATTGGAGCGGAACTTTGACAAATGATGGGGAGCCCCCAAAATATACACCACAACCACCACCTCCCTCCCCCTCTCCCTCTCGCTGGGAAGAGGAGAGAGGAGGAATCGACGTGGTGGTGGTGGTGTATCTTCTCTGGGCCCCGAAGTGATGCTTCTGCATGCGTTCGGCATGCCCGACGTGGGGGCGGAGAAGATCGGTATGATGTCCCATGGCAAGTGTTGCTCGAGATCGGCAGCGGCCGCTGCTGGGCAAGCAACACTACGTCCTCCATTCGGGTCGGGCGAAAGGGGGGGATAGCAAAGGGGGGGGTTTGAGAATCAGCTCACGCAGCTGATTTTCCCGGCGCCTCCCGGCGCCGGAAGCGGCTATGTATCGAGGAATGGGCCCCTCGGTGAGGCCGAAACCAGCTGCATGCAGCAAATTCGTAACCCCCCCTTTCCCAATCCCCCCCTTTCGCCGGCCCGATCCATGGACAAACGCCGCGGAGACTCAGGACAGCGAGTCCTGGTCAGAAGCGAAAGGGACTGGCGTCGTCCTTCGTACCCAGATATCTGGCGCTCCAGCTTGTTCGATGCGCGGAGCCACCGGAGGTTCGTCCTGAACCGTTTCTTGACAGTACTGGGGCCGGTGGAGGGCACCTGGAGGCCGAAAACTGTCCAGAAGAAGCCGTCCACAAATATTTTGGAGCCTCGGTACCCACGCTTCCCGTACCCATGTCGACCGTATGGTAGGTTCGCGCGGCGTCGGCGCGCGCAAAAGGTGTTTGACACCGCGTCGATCGTTCACTCTTGAGCCAAACTCGTTCAAGGTTGAATGCCGTCGGGTCCAATCGCGTCACCGTGTCCGCCGGTGCGGCCGCATCGCAGAATTCAACCTTGAACGCCTTCGCCTGCGTCGCCAGTGCGCCATCGCCACATGAACCTACCGTACCGAGATATTTATTCGTCGAGGTCCTTGCGGTCACGCCGGTCGCGGTCCTCGTCGCTGCGGTCCTTGCGGTCCCTCTTGTCGCGGTCGCGCCGGTCGCGGTCGCGGTCGCGGTCGCGGTCTCCGCGTCGGTCGCGGTCCCGGTCCCGGTCGCCGCTGCGGTCGTCCCGGCGGTCGCGACCTTGAGAGGCGTGGGGCGCGAAAGAGGCGTTGCATGTTTCTTCGTTTATCTTAGCCTAGGATAGTGTAGCAATGGGGTATCCTTGAATCGGGTGCACTAAGATCGGGCGTCCAACGATACCTAATGTTATCCTTACCCGATGTTCTTCAACGTTGCTCACCCGATGCGCTGAGTGACTGGCGCTGTCTTTTTTCGCAGCGGGCTACGTTACCTTCTCTGGGGCCCCGGGACCTTCACACAGGGGGGGTCCAGGGCTATGGTTAGGTCTGGCATGTTTTCCTACAGGCGGATTAGGGATGAAACATGTAAACTAATCAAACACATATTGAAGATATGGATAAAACTAGCAAAAATCATGCCCAGACTATTTTGTCTATTTTTCAAGATTCCTGCTGTAGAGGGACATGCCCGACTTAAGGCTATGGTAGAGTGGTTTGTTCTTTGCGATGTCGCCATTCTTGCCGTGACGTCGGATCTTAGGCAAGGGGCGCAAGGCCTTCCAGCAGATCCCTGCGGCACCTCCCCCTCAATAGGTGTTTGTTGGGTGGCTAGAGGGGATTGGCGGGCTTCGCCCAGGACCCCCAGTCGGGGGGTTCTGTGGGGGTCAGGGAGGTTGGTGGGTTTTCCTTTTGGGACCCCCCTCTCAAGGGGAGGTCTTGGAGGCGTCAGGGAGAAGGGTGGGCTTTCCCCCAGAGAAGCCGTGCAGGAAGAAGGGGGCCAAGGCAGGGGTTCGGACTTCGGGCCTCGGCCGGCCCGTCTCATCGGCAATTCGAGCCCAGGAGGCCGTGAGTTAGCCGAGAGGGACAGCGCCTCAAGTAAATTAAGGCTTGCGAATCCGAACGTACGTGCACCCATCAGTCGGAAGAAGTGCTCCAGATGTCGTAATAAAAGGGAGGCCCCCCCCCCCCCCCAGACGAGAAGTTTTAGACCCCCCCAGACCATCCATGAAAGGGCGGCCCTTTGCCCAGACCCCCCCGAACCCTCCAAGACAGTTCAAATCAGATCCCCCCAAAATGTGACCCGCCCACTGTATTATGGAATCTGGAGTAGGTAGAAACATGAAGTAGGAAATCGTTGAAAATAGATTGGGTTCCGTCCGCCCCCTAAGGAGGACGGGAAAGGTGAAGTCACTCGATCATTGAAGTAGGACGGTGCTTAAATTCTATTGGAATCTGGGAATCCAGAAACACCTACTTTCAACGACCGATGGGTATGCACCGCCGTGCCTCTGGGCACGGAGTGGACGTGTCCTCAGGTCCTTTGCCTGATCCCTGGAGCCCCAGTCCTGAGTCCAGAGAAGTCTTTCAGCGGCCTGGAGCCGAAATTCCATCGCTTGTGGGGGCTTGCAGCGGTTCCCATGGGTTCCCCCGCGGCTTGTGGCATGGCCTTTTCGGGTCCACCGCGGCTCCAAGACGGGCCAAGAGGGTCTCACGAGGCCCCCAAGACGGTGCAAGAGGGCCCCGAGTCGCCGAAAGGTCAATCCAAGACGCCCACGATGGCCTCAAGATGGCCCAAGAGGCCTCCAAGGCACCCCAAGATGCCTCCAAGACGCCTCCCAAGAGGGACCCAAGTGGAACAATTCAGTGGTTTCCCAGAAGATGTTTGAAGGATTTTGACGTTGTCGCCCTTTCGACCTTCCGACGCTCCAAGACGGCCCAAGAGGCGCCCGAGACCATCCCAAAACGGCCCAACAGGCCCCAAAGAGGGCCCCAAGACTGCCCCACAAGGGGCTCAAGCGAGGGAACACGAACCGAAACTCCGAGCCCTCCGCCCCAAGAGACCCCCAGGGAGGCCCCAAGAGGCGCCCAGGAGGCCCCAGTAGGCACCCCGAAGAGGCCCCCAAGAGTCCCAACAGAGGCCCCCAAGGCGCCCCCAAAAGGCCCTAGGAGAGGCCTCCAACCTGATTCCAAGGGGCTCCCGAGGGGCCTCCCACTGGGATCCCAATGAACATCCAATAGGCTTCATACCCACAAGCCAGGCACGGTGGCGGGATGGGCCGAAGGCCACTCGAAACACAGACACACGCACCAATACGCGCACATATGTGTAGATGTGCACCAAGATCTACACACTTTCAGCGAACTTGCGCGTACTGGATCGAGAGGGCAACACCGTTCTGCAATCGGCGACACATCCACGCCCCGCGCGGGCGAAAACCGCCAGCTCCCGAGAAGCGTGGGGCACCCGAGCCGAGATCGGCGACGCATGCCATACGCAGCCCGGGGTGGCCGATGCGCCCCCAGCATTGGCCCATCCTTCTCTCCCCATTGAGACCTCTGCGGTCGTCCCGGCGGTCGTCCCGGCGATCACCACGCCGACCCTCGCCGCTGCGACTCCTGTCGCGGCCTCCACTTCTGTCGCGGTCGTCGTCCCGCGCCGGTCGCTTGCCCTCCTTTTCCTTCTTGGCCTTCTTGTCGTCGCCCCTGTCTTTCTTGTCGTCCTCCTTGTCTGTCTCTTCCTCCTCTCGTCGCCTCTCCTCGTCTTTCGAAGGTTCTTTGGCAGACTCCTTCGCCTGCTCTTTTTCGGCCCCCCTCTCCTTATCCTTGTCTGTTTCTCTTCTCCTTTCCTGCTCCCTGGCAGCCTCCTCGCGCTTCTCGCGCTCAGCCTCGAGCCGAGCTTGGTCGTTGGCCTTGCGCTCCTCCTCCAGCTCCGCCTGCTTCTTGCTCGCCTTGGCCTTCGCAGCCTGGGATGCCTTCTTCTTCTCCTCCTCGTCCTCGTCCTCGTCTTCGTCGTCGTCCTCCTCTTTCTCCTCGTCCTTGCTCTTCGCTGGCGCCTTCTTCCCTCTGCTGGACTCTGCCTTGGCGGCCAGACCAGCCAGCTTCGCCTGGAAAGCCTCCTCGCGCTTCTGGCGCTCCTCTGCCCGCCTCTTCTGCTCCTCCCTCACGCTCTGCTTCCGCTCCGCGTCCTCCTCCTTCTTCATCGCCTCCAGCTGCTTCTTGAGCTCCATCTCCTTGCCCGCGCCCGACTTCCTCTGCTCCTGCTCCTTCCGCTTCGCCTCCTCCGCCTTCGCGCGCTCCTCCCGGCGCTTGTGGTAGGCGGCCATGAAGGAGGAGTGGCTGATGGCCGCGGCACCGCTGCCCGGAGGGTCGGCAGCGGCTCGCTTGTCCTCGGCCTTGCCCTTCGGCTCCTTCTTGCTCTTCTTCTCCGATGGGGCGTCAGACTTGGCCTGAACCACCGGACTCCTCCCGCCTCCCTCCCCCCCTCGGCCCTCCGCCGCCTCCTCCTCCACCTCCCTTTGCCCCTCCTCCCCACTCCTCCTCCTCCACCTCCTTGCCCTCCGCCCTCCTCACCTTCCTCCTTCCCCTCCCCCTCCATCTCCCCTCCCATCCTGCTTCCACGCTTCCCTCCTGCCTCTATCCTCGATCCTCCTCAGCCTCCCCCCCTCCCTCCATCCCTAACCCCAACCTCCTTCATCATAATCCTTGTCCTTCCCATCTTCCTCTTCCCGTCAGCCTCTCCATCCTCTTCCCCCTCCTCGGTCGTCGTCGTCCTCCTCCATGTCCCCCTCCTCCCCCCTCGTCTTCCCTCTGACCTCCAGCCTCCGCCCTCATGCCTCCTCCTCATCATCACCCATCGCATCCTCCTAATCCTACTCCTCTACCCTCCTCCCTTCGACTGCCTTCTCCAGCCTCCGCGCGCGTCATCCTCATGTTTCCCCTTCCCTCCTCTTCTCCCCGCTCCCTTCTCAGCGCACCCTGTTCCATGATCCCTCCCTGCTGCGTCCCTCCATCCCTCCCCGTTTCTTTCCTCCCCCTCCCCCCATTCCCCTTCCCTCTCCTACTCGTTATCATGCATCAGTTTCCCTTATGCTGAACTCTCCCCCACTGTAGCACCACCAAGCGTATCCGAAAGCTGGGCCATCTGTTTAGCTTGAGACTGTCTTACGATGTGTTATCCTGAAGCTGTGTTGAGGGCAAAGAACTGTCAACATGCGGCTCTCGCCTGATCAACGTGCACATTCGTCCTAAAAGTGTGCAGCGTATCCGAAGATGGAGGCCGACTCGTCTTCGAAACGTGACTGTCGCATTAGCGCCGCGAACATCATGCTCGATGTCGAAAAAACCTGATCGCATTATAGCCGAGCGCAGGCCTCGAAACAGTTTGCAACAACTTCGAGCACGGAGGCTGGCCGTTGTTCAACATGCGGCCCTCGCCTCATCGCTGCACACGCTCGTGCTCACAACAAGCAGCAGCCCCGCGAACGGAGGGCAATTCTCGTTCGAAGTCGTGCTCTCGCCAGAGCGACAGCAAGCAGTCGTCCCGAGTCCGCAGCAGCTTCGGCGGCGAAGGAGGGCTCCGTTTCGAAGATGGGGCACTGGCGACTTCGGCTTGGCAGGGTGTAGGCAGCTGCGCGGGTGGAGGGCGGCTGCTGCTCAACATGGACTACCGCTCGACAGATCGTGTGCACCACGGTTGCCCGAGCGGGGAGGCGGTCCAGGACTCCAGCGTACGAGGTTCCCGCTGGACACCTCGTTTGAACCTCATTAGGGGAACAACAAGAGACATAGGCATACTGTCCCGGCAAAACAGCCTGACAGCGATGTGTGGGAGCATATCTGGAAGCATTCCCCTTCCGATTCAGATGAGAATCCAGTTGTAGAATTCTGCTGTTCTCGCAGTCGCAGTCGCATTCGCGATGACAGTCGCAGGGGCAACGGCAGTCGCAGTCACAGTCTCAGCCTCACCCTGCCTCAGCCTCAGCCTCAGCCTCAGCCTCAGCCTCAGCCTCAGCCTGCCTCAGCCTCAGCCTCAGCCTGCTTCAGCCTCAGCCTCAGTCTGCCCTCAGCCTCGGCCTCAGCCTCAGCCTGCCTCGGCCTCAGCCTGCATCAGCCTCAGCCTCAGCCTCAGCCAGCCTCAGCCTCAGCCTGCCTCAGCCTCAGCCTGCATGAGCCTCAGCCTCAGCCTCAGCCTCAGCCTGCCTCAGCATTAGCCTGCCTCAGCCTCAGCGTCAGCCTGCCTCAGCCTCAGCCTCAGCCTGCTTCAGCCTCAGCCTCAGTCTGCCTTCAGCCTCAGCCTCAGCCTCAGCATGCCTCAGCCTCAGCCTGCCTCAGCCTCAGCCTCAGCCTCAGCCTGCCTCAGCCTCAGCCTCAGCCTCAGCCTCAGCCTCAGCCTCAGCCTCAGCCTGCCTCAGCCTCAGCCTCAGCCTCGGCCTGCTTCAGCCTCAGCCTCAGTCTGCCTTCAGCCTCGGCCTCAGCCTCAGTCTGCCTCAGCCTCAGCCTGCCTCAGCCTCAGCCTCAGCATCAGCCAGCCTCAGCCTCAGCCTCAGCCTCAGCCTCAGCCTCAGCCTCCTGCCTCCTGCCTCAGCCTGCTTCACCCTCAGCCTCAGTCTGCCTTCAGCCTCGGCCTCAGGCCTCAGTCTGCCTTCAGCCTCAGCCTCAGCCTCAGCCTGCCTCAGCCTCAGCCTGCCTCAGCATTCAAAATGTGGCCCGGGAATGGAGTTCTGGGAACTCAAAGAACACGAAGTGGCCTGCAGTTGGCTCCGTGCATTCAAAATCATGCCCAGGAATGGAGTTCTGGGAACTCGAAGACCACGAAATGGCCTACAGGTGGCTCCGGGCATTCAAAATGTGGCCCGGGAATGGAGTTCTGGGAACTCGAAGAACACGAAGTGGCCTATTGTTGGCTCCGGGCATTCAAAATCATGCCCAGAAATGAAGTTCTGGGAACTCGAGGACCACGAAGTGGCCTACAAGTGGCTCCAGGCATTCAAAATGAGGCCCGGGAATGGAGTTCTGGGAACTCGAGGACCACGAAGTGGCCTGCAGGTGGCTCCGGGCATTCAAAATGTGGCCCGGGAATGGAGTTCTGGGAACTCGAAGACCACGAAATGGCCTACAGTGCCTACAGTTGGCTCCGGGCATTCAAAATGTGGGCCGGGAATGGAATTCTGGCAACTCGAAGACCACGAAGTGAGTAACTTCGTGCTTAAAACGACTTCCGCGGATCCCTGTCCGGATGCCGCCCAGACCCCCCTGGGGAGTCATGATGCTCTCTTTTGACCCTATTAGAAACCTATCAGTCTTCGCTGTTAGGTAAAAAACTCTGAGGTCCGCGCGGATTCCTCGTATCGGCGCTGGTCCCCCGTCCTTGGCGCGCGGAGCGCGCCAGGGGCGGCGCCGGAGGCACCGCCAGAGGCCCCCAGCGCCGATCCGAGAAATCCGTGCGGATCTCCGAGTTGTTACGTTTATGCCACTTTTCGTTCCCCTATTTATTCGCATACCTTGTCCAAGAAGGACGCAAGGAGGAACTCAATCTCACCACAAGGCGCGTCCGCAAAAACGGCAGGCCAGGCCCATCCGGCGCTCGTTAATCTGTGGGGCAAGGGGGGCGCTTCTTGTAGGTGTGACAGAAACGAAGCCTTTAGGGGAACAACAAATGACATAAACATAACAACTCGGAGGTCCGCGCGGATCTCTCGGATCCGCGCTGGACCCGCCTCCCTGTCGCGCGGAGCGCGCCAGGGGCGGCGCCGGAGGCTCCGCCAGGGGGGCCCCAGCGCCGATCCGAGAAATCTGCGTGGACCTCCGAGTTTTTATGTTTATTCCCTACCTAGGCTCTGCCTAGAAGGGTTCTTACTCTGAGGCTTAAAGGGCCGGGCAGTGGAATGCGCCCCGGGCGGTTCCCCCAGGATCCGCACCGCGGTTCCCCCAGTGACGTTCCCTTAGCTTCGCGTTGCTTATCTCATCTTAGCTTAGCTTATTTCATATTACCTTAGCCTAGCTTCATCTTACCTCAAATTTATTCCCTTCCTAGGCTCTGCCTAGAACGGTTCTTACTCTGAGGCTTAAAGGGGCCAGGCAGTGGAATGCGCCCCGGGCGGTTCCCCCAGGATCCGCCCCGCGGTTCCCCCAGTGGCGTTCCCTTAGCTTCGCGTTGCTTATCTCATCTTAGCTTGGCTTATTTCATCTTCGCTTAGCTTAGCTTCATCGTACCTCAGTTTTATATTAGCTTAGCTGACCTTCATCTTAGCGTCGCTGAGCTTTAGCACAGCATAGCATAGCAGAGCAGAGCACAGCATAGCGCAGCATATCATAGCATAGCCCAGCATAGCATAGCATAGCGCAGCATAGCATAGCATAGCATAGCATAGCATAGCATAGCATATCATAGCATAACATAGCGCAGCACAGCACAGCATAGCACAGCGCAGCATAGCATAGCCTAGCATAGCAGAGCAGAGGATAGAAACTAATGCTGCTTTCCTAGGGGCTCCAACTTCTAGGTAGGGTCGCACTGGGGTAATGCCACGTTTTGTTCCCCTAGCCATGCAAAGTCTTTTGTTGCTTAGGGTTAGGCTTAGCGAGTGGCTGTTTCACGAAAGCAGCGCCACGCGGCAGACACGCTACAGTGCGATTGTGCTCAGGATCAGAAGTGTCACTGTGCATTGCTCTCAGAGCGAGAAAACTCCTCAAGGTGTGTCCCCCAGGATGCTTTGCTGCGAACTGTGGCCTGCCAATCGCCGTGCCGGAAAGGACTTAGGACGGGATGGTGTACTTCAGCATCGCTGATGCTTCCTGGGCTTACTCTGGTCATCCTCCTGTTCCTTCCTCTCGACACCCCCCTTTGACTCATGGGTGGCTCCTCCTCGTCGCACCAAAAAGCGTGTTCGTGTTGCGGTCTGGGCGTTTGGCATCTACAAGCTGAAGGTGTGATAAAGGAACGCGTGGGGAGGCACGTTTGTCTCCCCACTGCGGCTCTGGCCGTAGCGCGGAACAGCTCGTTGTTTGCAAACTGTTCCACTGCTCCAACCTATTTACAGGGTGGGCCTTCGCGTTAGCGCCGTGCGCTTTTGCTTGAAACGTTGCAGCCCGTTGCGCTGAGGAGGGAGGGGCCCCGTGTAAACACGTCGATGTTGCATGCGTGGATATTCGTCGCAAAAGACTGTCACGGATACGCGGGAGCAGGGAGGCTTGTTTTCCTCATAGGGTTCACTAGATATATACAGAAACCTATGTACATAACAGACAAGGATAAAGAAATCGAGAGCAAGGCAGAGAGAGAACAGAGAGAAGGACACACGCACACACAATGATAAACACGACAGGAGCGCGAGAAGGAGAGTGAACATGTATGTTTTTATATACATATATAGGTTATGTATATGCGTGTCTACGTGTACATGTAAACGTGTGTATACTGATACCTTATATATATACATATATATAT